TGCTTAGGTCTATAACAAGATATAATGTTAAAGAACAGAAATAATATCATTCCTCCATGGACAACATAACAATCAAAAATATAAAAGGACTTGTAGAATAACCTGAAGGCCTTCAAGCGTTCAGAAAAGGCCATTGCTGATAATTCATTACCACGGAGGTCATTTTTGAACATTGGATGCAACCCTTCGCGGGGTAGGTCTTTTACTCTTTTAATGGACTCTTTAGAAGGCTTTGATTTTGTCTTTGAGTACAACCCAAATGCTTTCGTACATGGCCTTTGCAGAGTTTCTAATTCAGTTGAATGATCAATGATTTCCCGAACTCTATCTGAGAGGAGATCTAGAACAGTTTGTGGAAAACGTCCATAGACAGTTTCTCCATTGGCAACTGCTTGATCTATTTTGGACAGGACTCCATCCACATCTTGTAAAACCTCTTCCTCAGTTGGTGCAGCCCTGATTGGTTTAGATAGAAAGAGATGAAGATCTAACAAATAAGCCATGTCGTCGGATGTGACAAGAGAATATGCAGTGCCAATACGACCAGCCCTTGCAGCTCGCCCAACTCGATGAACAAAAAGTTTAGGTTTGGTAGGAAAATCAAAGTTGATAACATTATCAAGCAGTGGAATATCAATTCCTCTAGCAGCCACATCCGTCACAATGAGCACCATGGTTTTTCTTGCTCTAAATCTAGAAACATGAATTTTGCGAGCATCGTGATCCATATCACCATAACAAACAGAAGCTTCAATGCCCTCTTCTCTTAAAAGAATGTTGAGGAACTCAACGTGATACTTGGTGGAAACAAAAACTATAGTCTGCTGATCAGAAGTTATTTGTTCACGAATCAGATACAGAAGTGCAGCATGCTTCTCCTCCTGTCTTACAGTGAAAAATGCAACCTTCAAGTCTGGACTTATCTTTGTATCCAAATCAAGCCTCACAAGCTGAGGGTCTCGAAGCCCAGCCTTAGCAAATTCAGCAAGGGCACTGGGTAAAGTTGCACTAAAAAGCAGAGTCTGGCGGTTCTCACCTAGATGGGTGAGAATTCTATGCAATTGCTCAGCAAAACCCATGCTAAACAAACAATCAGCTTCATCAAAAACAACATATTCCACAGTGCGCAGTGACATATCATCAACCTCAGATAAATGGTGCATGAGCCGACCAGGAGTTGCAATTATAATATCAGGACTTTGTGCCAATTCTTCAAACTGGCTTTCCATACTATCACCACCAACCAACAAACTAACCCTAATATCTGCATCAAGGATTAAAAAAAAAATCAGCTTTTACCATTTGAGGCTACAGGTAATTGACTAAAACTCATGGCACCAACACAAAAAGAGGTAATTCTAACAATCTTCCCTCCTTTCTTCTGTTACATCACACAAAATGGGGACTTTTAGTCCTTAACCGAAGTATGTATTTAACAATACTATACAAAATATTAAACCATTTAAGTAACAATAAAAACAAGCATTGTATAGGTAATAATTATCCAAACAAGACGAAGACGAGAGGAAAAAGCAAAGCACCTGTGAATCGGCCAAGTTCTTTGGTAAACTTAAGCGTTTGAAGCGCCAAATCCCTAGTTGGAGAAAGAATTAGAGCTCTAACACCAGCTTGAGGCACATGCTGCTTCAATTTCTCAAGCATAGGCACAAGGAAAGCCGCCGTTTTACCAGAACCAGTACGGGCCATAGCAACAACATCGAATCCAGAGAGTATAAGTGGCATTGTCTTACGCTGAATAGGCGTAGGAACTCTATAACCTTTTCGTTTGATTCCTCTGAAGATATTAGAGCTTAAACCTAATGACTCAAATCCTCCTGATTTTGCCTTCTTCTTCTGCTTCTCTCTACGTTTAAGCTCCGCTTTGGAGCTAACCAGAATCGCCATTGGAGAGTTGGAAGCGAAGAAAGTTTTGGTGGCTCACTGAAGAAAAGAATGAACAGAGGGTTTTTGGACCTAATTCCCTGGGTTTTGTAATTTACAATTTTATCATTCTTTTAAATTTTATAATTTTTTTGAGCTTAATCCTAGTTTGCCCTATTAAAGGCAACAATAAAACAAGAGTTAAAATGTAAAACATGGACTCTTAATTTTAATTACCATCATCGTGTTATCAATCACTATAATCGATTAGTATAGAGCTATTATTCATTGTCATTATCAGTTATCACCATCAATATAACTAATGCTTACTATGACACGTTTATCACTACAACTATCATAAACCATCACATATTATCACCGTTAATATGTCAATTACTAACATCAATAAACTTCACTTGTTAATATGGCTCCTTCAGTATCACGTCAATCAATACAATATCAACCACATATATCATAAAAGGCTAAAAAAATACTTCAATAGATCATATACACCCTTAAAATTATATTTTGCTAAAAAATACTCTTTCGTTAAAATTTTGAGTCACATTTATCCTTAAATATTAACGAAAGTTCATATACCGCATGGCCTAAAATCCTTTGTATTATTAGTTTACATAAATTGAATAATAGAATTTTGTAAGACTATTATAAAGATTTGTTACACTTTATTTTTTTGGGTCCAGATTTCATTTGTTCGATTTTGGTTGTAGCCATTTGCATCTTAGTACTATGAGTGGTAATCACAATTATTATGGACCAAAATAAATGCTTGGAATCATTTTAGTACTTAGATTCCTATGTGATATGATAGAGGCAGCAATATAGGACAAAAAATAAAGGGATAAATAAGAAATTTTTAAGTAAACGCAAAAAAAAATAAAAAAATTACATGTTTTAATCGAATATTGAGAATAAAATTTGATGTGAACTCACATTAATTGACATTCAAAGTGGATATCAATTTTTAAGGTGAATTTCTTAAAAAGTATCGTAATTATGGCGAATCAAAGGAGTTTTAATTTTTATAAGGAATATAACTTTTTAAAAATATTTTGAGTTATTATATTATACCCATCATTTCTTTTCTGTATCACTCTTTTTCTTAGTCAATTCAGAAAAGAATAACATGTTTGTAATGTTTACTAATAATTTAACTATATCATAGACTTGTTAAGTAGTTGGTTAAAATCGATAAAATGATAAGTACTCTTTCATCTTTAATCAACAATCTCGAATTCGAGTTCATCTTGATACAAAGTCATCTTTGATAAAAAAAAATGTTCTATCCGAAATATAGAACTTAGAATGTTTTATCCTCAATAAGTCCTTTTGAGAACTTATCACTTTACTCCGATCTGTTAGTTTATTTTTTTATTAAAAAAAATATTTGATTATAAAATACTCATTTTACTTTTAATGAAATATTTTTTATAATCACACCTTATATTATATCATAAGTTCTAAAAAAAATTATTTCTTAAGCATTGCACCCAATCAAATACCTTCACAACAAATTAAAACGAAAGAAACATTATTTATAATATCTTGTTCAAATATATATATATATATATATATATATATTATTAAAAGAATATTAAATTCACATAACATTAATAATTTAATTTTCGTACTACGAAATCATGTCCCATAAATGAAAGAAAGGGACATGGCTATAGCTTTTCACAGAATCGTCCTTGCTCGAAAGTATACCAAATTAACCATAATGTCTTGTGTCTACAATAATAATAATAATGTAAATAAATTAAGGCCGTGTTAAAGATATATTTTTTTTGCGTCTTAATTTAACTCTAAGAATAGATTGAATCGATAGATTCAACGTAGATTTGTTATGAAATATGTCTTCACTAGTTATCGAACATTACATAATAAGTATACCAAAATCAATATCTCAATAACAAAATTTATACCGATTTTAACTTAAACCAACAACCAAACACAAGATAAGGTGCGATTCTAGTATTTTTTTTGTATTTTACTTTTGTACTGCTTGTCAGGGCTAGGCTAAACCATAATGTTGTGTTACTACGCTTTGCCTCTCCCTTCACTATAAAAGTCTCGCTCCTATTATTTAAGAAAAAGAAGATGAAAATTGAGCTTGATTATCAATGGATGGGAAGGACGAAGTGGAACTTTGCATAAAGTGAAGATCGTTGGGGTGAGTAGAAATGAATTGTTTTTCATAAATAGTAAGATTGCATCCCCGCCCAAAAAAAAAAGACTTGTTGCTTGAATGTAACTATTCAATCAAAATAAAATATTACAACTATAACATACACTTTTAGAGAAGTATTGAAAATACCCTTAAACTTGGTATGGATGATTAGTTTCGTCCTCAAACTATTGACAGCCTTAAAAACACTCATCCACTTGATTAACTGAACTTACACATACCTCTGATTAGCCAAATGACATAACAAGTGGTCTCTACTTTCAAACAACTCTGGTATGAGTGTCTGACTCTTAATAAAAGGTCAACAAAAGTGCTGAATATATTCCTAAACTTGCCAAATCAGGAGTGTATTTAAGCTTACCTAGTCAAGTAGAGAGTATTTTGAAGGCTATCAATAGTTTAGAGACAGAAATAACAATTCATGCCAAGTTCAGGGTGTTTCTCTCTATATTTTGGTTTCAAATTCATAGGAACAGAAGAGGGCTCGACCAGATTAGGCGATGAGAGTGAGAGGATCCTTTCGAACAAAATCATTAATATGAATAGCCTAATCCCGATTTTTCGAATCCCATTGTCAAGGACTAAAAACACAATTGATGTATAGAAGAAAAAGAAAAGGAAATGGTATCGAAGTTATCAATATTGTGGATGGTCACGTTCTTCTTTTGCAGGCAATAATGCTTAGGTCACGTTAAAGTTGAGGTCCTTTTATATGTCGCAAGTTGAGGCCAGAAAGAGTAGCTTCATCTGTCAACATAAACCTGTACCAGAAACCCTATCAAATTGTAGTATCTTTAGCTCATCTTTAATCCAAATCCTGTTCTCCACTTCTCCACTTACTATAGAAACAGAAAAGTATGGAACTTTGTGGTCCTCACATATTCGTTTTTGTTTAATAATTGTGGTGTTGTACACATCTCGACTAGTTCCACAAGGTATATGACTATATGTTACTTCCCACTAGTTCCGAGTAACTCAATCTATCCATCAAAGCTTAGATAAATGAATGTGTTTTTGCCTTTTAACAAATTTTAAACTTGAGACCTCATAGTTCTCATCTCACTTCATTGATCACTAAGTCATACCCATAGGTGTGTGGCGTGGTCCACACATATTCTCTCCCTTCTCTTTCACCTTTATTGCTAAACTTCACATTATTAATCTACTCATATATTCTTGTGCTCCTCACTCTAGTTTTCCTCAACTTGTTTCTTTTCCCCCCCTTCAAAGAGATGGAAAATAACAAATGGGAAGGGAAGAGAAGCATGGAAGAGGATGATGATGAGGAAGATGAAGATGTTGTAGAGGATACCAAAAGGAAGAGGGTCTTGACTCGCTCTGGACGGAAGGTATCCACTGCAGAGGGGTCAAGGCAACCTTCCTGTCAAGTTGAGGAATGCACTGCAGATATGGTGAATGCTAAGACATACCATCGCCGCCACAAGGTCTGTGAATTTCATGCAAAGGCTCCAGAAGTACTTATTGATGGACTCCGACAGCGTTTCTGTCAGCAATGCAGCAGGTTCAGATACTCTGATCTTTCAATATGCAATTTGAGTTTAACTTCTAAATACACTCATCAGATCACCTTAAAGATAACTAACAAGTAACTTCCCATTCAAGTTACTTGGAAAAAACGTAGTTAAATTACTCTCTGTAGGGGTAAAATGCATTTATATGCACAGTTTAGAGTGCACACAGACAGCCATTTGGCATACAAACAAGCATTTCACTTTACCAATGACCATAAAAGAACAATTTTTTTAGCTAGAGGTCTATTATATCTACATCAAAGATCATTACCTGCAACAAGAACAAAAATAGTGGCACAAAGTTGCAAGGCTGATAATTCTTCTCTCACATTAAGCACACGTACTAGTTTTCGGGTGAAAAGCAAATTCATCAATATTTTTCTCTTATGCTGCTTAAAATAATGTAATACCTTCATGAAAAGCTCAGTCTATGGTTGGTGAGGATAAAGAGCCTCTAGATTCACATAACATGGAACCTACGTGACAGATCCTCCAAAAATGCACTACTTTTGGAGGATTCAAAACACACCTATAAATATTTTTGAAGAGTATTAGCAACATCATGGAACCAAAGCCAAATCAGAACAACTATTTTAACTGTGATTTCTTTTGTATGAATTTTCTTGTGCTCGGTGCTGCTTTAAATTTAAGGTGAAGGAAATTTAAATGAAAAATATATGGAGAACAATCTGTTAGTGGAGTCGCAAATGGGGATTCTTTGCCGTCCCCTGCTTTTTCCAGCAGGCAGGAAGCCTTGACTGCTGATTCTCCCAAGTCCCTGGTGAGATTGATCACATCTGATACTGGTGTATTCTCAGAATCACCATCATTTCCTATAAAGACGGATAAAACATTACTACAATGGAGAAAAAAATATTTTCTCTACTTTCAAACGGGACCGTTGCACAATTCTCTATTCCCAAACGAAGATTATATTGGGGTAACCTAAAGAAGATTCCCTCTTTTCCTATAAAAGTATGTATCCTCTCAATTATGAAACTCAGTATGCACCACAATAATTTTACTGATTTTCTAAGCAGCTGCTTTCCTGTTGCAAAGTCTCGGCATAGGTAAAATATAAGTACTGAAAACTCACAATGGTCTGAGTATCTGACAATTGAAACATGAAAGAGAGTAAAAACAGAAATTAGCAAGGACAGAGAGCTTTTCTCCCTGCACCATTTCCCTTAAGTGACTAGAAAAGAACCAATCAGAATTTACTTGAGGTGATTTTTCTTGCTCTATTTTGTTCCAAGAATGTGACATCTTGGTTCTCTTGCATCCTCTCAGAACTACTTATGGGAAGTTTCATTTTTTTTTACATTATAAATTATGGTAAGCAGATTTCATCAGTTGGCGGAGTTTGATGATGCAAAAAAGAGTTGCAGGAGACGGTTGGCAGGGCACAACGAGCGCCGCCGTAAAAGTGCACAAGATTATCCAGGAGAAGGGTCAAGTTGAACGGGCACCTACTAGTGGACTGATGAGAACTTAAGCTCCCTCTGAAAAATATAGAGTTTATCACGCTCTCTCTCTTCTGTCATTTGCCATATTTCCTTTTTAACAAAAAATGTTATCTTCAGGTATGCATAAAGTAGTAATTTCATTTCATCTGAAATGAAAATAGTACGAAAGAATGTTTCATTAACTTTTGTCTGTTGGTACTTCGATAGTTTGTAGACCGAAAATAAAGCTATCCTGTGTTTCACATGTATGTTGCTTGAAGACTACCCTGTTGGACATGTCATCTCACACTACAAAGTTTCTTTTATTTTTTTAATTACCCTTACTTTCCTGACAGAGCTCGAGTCTAGTATAAAAATGCTTTCCACCTTGCTATGAGAAACTAAAGACACTCGGAAAACACTCATTTGAAGAGTTAAGAAGGAAAAAAACAAACTGAGAGAACCACAAGGCTAAAATTAAATATAATCAGATTATCTCATTAAGAAAGTAAACATGATTGTGCTAAACTAGTAGCACGGCAGATGGCATATCAAAAGAAACATGCAGACCTTGCTACGAGCCTCTAAAGCTTTAAGCCAGCAGGCAACCAGAATAAATATTGGCAGCAACCAAGATATCTTACTAGTTGAAATCACGCTTGATTCCCAACAGTTTGGCAGACAGCTCCCATGTAACAATTGCAGCTGCATTAGCAGGAAACGCTCTCACAATTGTAGGACCTAGACCCATATAGCATCCTCTTAGACCAGATCTCGCATATATCTACCATAATAAACTGAATCAGGCATTTCATCTAGTATTTCAAGTTCCAAAATACAAGAGATTATGGTAACTACCGATTTTAAAACACGAAACGGGTTTCTCGTATGGTTTTTCTCTGGGGTAGTTTGAATTATAGTTTTTGCTACATCCAACGGCAGAACTGCTGACCAGCACTGAAAAGAGAAGATGCACAGAATTAATTTGTGTATAGAATATCCACATGGAAAGTTTACAAACAGCATAGAACCAAGCAAGGAAAAGAAAGAGAAGTCATTAAGAAAATGAATTCCAACCAAGAATACTCACTGCTATACCGCCAAGACCGCCACTCATTATTCCAACTCCAATATCAATCAATTGGCTAGACTCGGATGAAGCACCTTTACGTTGTAGATGCAAGTGATAACGCACATATTCATATGTACTAAAGAAGACAGCGTTTCCGAAAGATTCTCTTAATAAGGTTGTGAAGCCTCCTCGAAATATGCCTGTGATCTGAAAGGATCTTTGTCAGCTTAAATGCACACCAAAAGGCAAATTTGTGTAGATCAAAAAATTTCTCACCCCTTCACATTTTACAGTTTTAAGGGCACACTCAAGAGGACCACCATATCTACTGGAGCTTGGTAACACGGAATCAGCACCCTGAACTTGCATCCTACACTGGCATCATAGATATAATAAGGATGATACTTCCAAGTAACTCTAAAGCAGGATGTTATGAACCCTCACATCACTTACCTTCACCAGTTCTGATGGACATAGAATGAAGCTGATAATAGCTCCTCCAAAGGCAGCTGAAGGAACTATCGCTTGAGGCTGGGGCTTACCTCCATCAGGTCCACCCTTTAAAGCAAACACAAAAAGGTTCGTCATTGATAACAAGAAACTGAGATGTTGTCACAAAAGCGCCGAAGTTCCAAGATACTGTTAACGGTTGTGAAAGTAGTTGCCTTTCAACATAAACTAGTCATAAACAATCTTTGAATCGAATCACAGCGTAAACTCATTGCTCGATGAACATTGAACTAACCTGCAGCAATATTTTTGTTTGGGAATAAATGCCAAATACAAGTGAGCTCTCAAAGGCCATGCCAATGAACGAAGATGTAGCTCCTCGATAGAGCCCCTTAACCTGCCACAGAAAATTGCAGTTCAGGTCCCTCAGAAACATGAAAAGCAGTCCCATACAAGGAGGAAAAGTTCCCAAAAATAAGAAAAGAAAGATAATTGCAATATAAACAACAATAGTTGACCTTTTGTGATGTGCTCAATGAAAAAGGTATAAGATGAGTCTACAAGCAAAAGTATAAACCTCAATTTCTTTGAAGAAATAGAAGCTAGGTTTATTGTATAAGAAACAGGATTTGGCGGGCAAATCAATTTTACTTGACAAACAGTGTAGAAGCTAGGTTTATTGTATAAGAAACAGGATTTGGCGGGCAAATCAATTTTACTTGAAAAACAGTCAAGACGGCATACTTTGGCACTTATGTAGAAAGCCTCAAGGGAGCTCTGTTTAATTAGATCCATTTACTGCATACTACTTCAGTAACCAGAAACTTAGATAAACTTTCAAGGGAATAGGCAAATACAATCATAACTCATAAGCTCAGGAAAATGTTCATGAATATAACATGTACAAGTAAAGATATATGACATTTAGTATAGAGAAGACGAGGCTTATCGGGGATGGGGCTTCAAATAATGGAATCACTCAACCTTATGTTTGATGGGAATTTCAATATCTGCAAAGCAGTTGAGTCAAGTAAAGAGATTATACGTTCCACCAACTAAACAACATTTCAACAAACAGAACGGGAAAAACTCAAAGTTGGATTTTGGAAGAAGTTGAGAGACATACTCCTTCAGTTTTTAATATTCGAGCAGCACAATGCAATCCATTCTTGTACTTTATTCCACGAGCTTCCGTATTGTGTTTCTGGAGCTTCACCTGATAAATGCATTTCACATAACTCCATCGGTAAACCCACATGAAGTCACAACAACCTCCAACACCCGAACAAGTATACTATCTATGTCATATTATTAAGATCTTCTCGAAACATAAATTATTCCATCTGGCATAGATAACCTTATACTCTGCTTCAGCCAATACCTTACCCTATTTCCTACAAACCTTTATTCAGAGGCAGATGCAACCTTATAGCATCGGTTCATTTCAACCAGGTACTATTCATGAAAAGTATAAATTTATGCGTGAAACACTGTGACTAAGATTGCAACAATTAGTAGGTTTGAACCCATAACTTTTAAAATATGATAGGTTCAAAGTTAAAAAGTTGAATTCATAAAATTTTGGATCTACCTCTGCCTTTGGTAAGACTTTCAACTAACAAATTAAGGCATGTAAAGAGAGAGAAACTATAAAAATCAACTTCCTTTTTTTGTTAACCATGGTGTCAAGATCAACCTGTGTAAACCTCGACTAATACCATAAGATATTTATCACCTCTCACCAACAATATGTACCAGGATTTGAAACTGAAACCTCATGGTTCTCAACCAATTTCATCGACCACTAAGCCAACCCTAGGAATGTTTGCTACAAATTTATACCTTCAACCAAACACAGTATAAATCTAATCCCAAACTTAATAATGTAATATCCAACTTGAGATTATTTCATCCCACCTGCTAAACTAGCGTAAGAGTTATAATCCTAACTAACAGGATAACTTAGTTTGTGTGTACCAAATGAATGAACTGCTTAACAATCAACCATCCCTTTTTTGATTAATACGCTAAAAGAACCTCTCAACGAATCTAGAGTCAAAATTTTGGTGCACCTAGCCATCTATACTAAGAAAACAGCAAAAACCCAGATGCAAAATTTGTTCAACTCTACCAAATATGATAAAATTCGAATTGCATTCATTCACAGGATAATGCAAATGGGTATTTCCATAAAAGCTTGAAGTAGTAAACGAACCTTGACGGTATCAAAAGGGTGACCGGTAATGACAATGGCAATACCGGCCATGAGCCCAGCTACATACTCCTTGTACCCCGAATTCCCACTCATCTTCTCCATTGCTCCAACTCGAGAATTTTGCTATTCTCCAGTTGAGCTGGGTTTTTCAAAGGGTTTTAGCTCTAGTAAATCCAACAATTTGCTCGCTCTCAAACTAACACCGTGTTTGTGTTTTTTTGGTAATATAAAGTAGAGTTGAATTTGTAAAGACAATCAGCGCTTAAGTCAGCTCGAGATTTGTCCCCCATTCTTTTATGGCATAATACATGCATATATCAAATTTGGCTTCAAATTTTAACTTTGATCTCAAATTTTCATATTGCATAAATAGACACTTTAATTATCTTATCTTTCAATAAATAAATACGCAATTTTTGGAGCCAAAATGCGTGAAATGCAAACGCTTCCACGTGTATTAGTGAGTCAATCAGTGACTGCCAACTAACTAAACATTTTACAATGTCATTTTGAAACTAAAAAAAATATCTTACATGTCATTTTGAAACTAAAAAATAAATAAATTAATTTTAATTAATATAAAAGAAATTCATTAAGGGTAGAATTGTCGTTTCAACATTTTTCAACCCTTGTAGGCCTCGAAAATTACCCCTCACTCGCGCAAAATGCGTGCATTTCAGGCATTTTGCCAAGTAGGAATCGCGTGTTTATTTATTGAAAGATGGATAGTTAAAGTGTCTATTTGTGCACTATGAAAGTTTGAGGTCAAAGTTAAATTTGAAGTCAAGTTTAGGGTCCAATATATATATTATACCTTCTTTTATTGACGTAGAAGATATGATATCTGAATCTAAATCGATCCATAAAATGTTAGATTCGTGAAAAAAAATTTGTTGTCTAAATCCATATAAAAAGACCAATTTCCTACTCCTCTTCCAATGTGGGATTTCTTGACAGATTTTTGACTTTTTGTGAGTAATTTAGAGTGTAAGAACTTCTTTAAAAATTTTGAAAAATTTTAAATTCAACTTCGAGACGAATTTAGTTCAAAGGATGAAAAAAGGTGGAAACATTTCATGATCTAACATGTCTGATAGTTTCATAAATATGTTTTAACTTGATCTCAAGTGACATCCAATTTTAATGTGCATAAATCAATATTTAAATTTGTATAAAATTAAATAAATACAACACTCGCCGTTGAGAAAGTTGCTAACATTCTTAATCCAAATTGCTTCCGTGGCTGTTTATCAAGAAGTTAAAACCTATCCCTTTTGTCATAGTAATTATACGTCCAAACAATATTACTATTTACTACTATGAAGAAATGAATTTTAAAAAAAATATTCATCAAAAGTTGAAAGTGAAACTTTAAGAAGAATTTTTTTTTATGTATAAAGTGAAAATTTCACTTTTGATTGTGGCCATTGAATGCCAGATTCTCATACAAGATTAGCTCCTTTTTCATTCTACTTTCCATAGGGGATTAGTTGGTTCCTTTGTTCCTACAATTAACAAATGCTATACTTTTTCTAAAGGTAGAACTTTAAAACACATTCAAAATAGGAATAAATTGGATTGGTACCCTTATTTTCGTCAAAGGAGGTTTGGATGAACCCTCTTTTGATACCCTAGCTCGCCCACGATACAAAGTGTTCAAAAAAGTCCATTGAAATATCGGTCTTTTAGATCTTAAGATCACACCAAAAGGCGAATAATTGAGTCTTACATTCTCATCTAACGTCTCAGGTTTCTCCTTCCAACTGGCCGCCTGCTAGATCATTCACCTTCTCCGGCTTGTAAAGGCTTCATTCGCCTGTTCTAAAAAATGAACGAATGTAGGTCAACACGTGAGATAAAAGCTCACATTTGCCATATGCAGGAATAAAGGATTAAGTATTACCAGTATCATTACTACAGATAAAGCATCTGCTGAATTATAAAAGCTGTGGAAGTTGTAGCTCTACGGGTTTGCTATCCATCCAAAGCAGGAGGGAGTCTAAGTCTTCGAAAGTATATGCAGACGGCCATTGAATTCTATGAAATTGACTCTTTTCATATGATAAGGACAGTATCATAATTCAAACCCTACTCATTACCTTCTTAAGTAGCTGAGTTACTCTGTCTATCTCCGGCAATCCCTTCAAATATTGACGCCCCAGAAGTTTCCATTGCTCCAGCGAGCATATTGCGACATTAGGATCTACTGCTTCCTGAAACACCTGCTTCCAAGGAAATATGTCCAGTCCAAGCATCTAGATGGAGATTTCATTTTTCTGCAATTGCACATATTAAAACTTACAGAAGCAGAGAATGAGTAACAAAACAATACCATCATTCATTAAATCTTTGAATTCATAGCTTTTGTAAAAACTTACAATAAATACATAAATCTTATGCAGCTTTGATTAACAACTCAATGCTTAATGAAATAGCTACAGGGCCAAATAGACTCTGTTCAACTTGGTTTAGTCACCAGTGAATGCATCGGATATGTCCGTAATATCGCACTGTTTTTGTCAGAGTAATCTCCCATAAGGTTAGCATGTCAATACTGTAGAGAAATAGTGTAGCTATGATAACCAAAGTCATACGGGTCAACTTGTATGCACCATGATTATGCCGCCGACTAACCATTATCTAATAATTGTCTGAACAAGCAACTGCAGAAACCTGAACCTCCGCGCCCCTAGTGAGGAACTGCAACTGTTATAAATGCAAGAATCCCCCATGCAACTACGTAAACATTAACAGCATGTTGCAAATAAAGGATGATCCTCCCACAGCGACGAGGTAGATGTCTCTTAGCTGGGGTGATCTATAGTTATCTCTAAACCTCCATGCTCTGGTGCAAAGACACGATCAAAAGCAGGCTTGCCTGCTCTTCTATTCTCTGTCACAAACTGCAGTTACTAGTTCATTTCATATATAACTAGCACTAACCAATATCTAACCGCTAACACTAAGTTGATTGGAGCAACATCTTAACAGTACAAATTCCCTTCAAAGCCGGGATGAAAGACGATAAGTACTTCCTGTAATCCTATTGAAAAAGAACCAAACACTTCGCTAAGTTACTAAACTTTATACTTGTTTTTCTTCAAAAGCACAATCTTCTCCCACTCATTTTCCTTTATCTACTAAAATATTTCAGTTCCCTAACTTTAAAAACTGAAAACGGCATGGACCAGACTCTAGTCATGCAGCCTGTTGCGAGCTAATGAGACCTCAATCCCGAAGCCTTCAAAGTATTCTTTAAGTACGTGCCTCTATTTTTATGGGGAATTCACTGCTAATAGATCTCGCTAGTGTCCCTCTCCTTCTATTTTTATGGGGAATTCACTGCTAACAGATCTCGCTAGTGTCCCTCTCCTTCTATTTTTATGGGGAATTCACTGCTAATAGATCTCGCTAGTGTCCCTCTCCTTCCCCTGCAACCTTCTGATTAACCGGAGTATATAATGACAGTGTCAGGGCGTGAGCACCGGGTCATGAGAGTACCTAGTAAACATCAGATTAAAGCTTCATGGATGATTAGTGGTCTCCTCCATGACCTTTTGCATCTAAAAGCATCTTCAATGCCAGAGAATCCAATGAGGGGAAAGCACAGAGGTAAGTATGCCAGGAGCACTAATCTAGTAGTTGACTCTAGCGAAGATGATGACATTAGCAAATTATATTTTTACCCGAGTCCCCTCACCCATATCCACACATGGATCTGTACCGAATCTTAAAATATAGGTCATAGAGGATCCAACCTCTGAATCCACACCCGAGCCCAAGTAACTTGGGGAGGATGCCTAAGTCCACAAAAGCAGGCCATCGGTCCAATTCCCAATCAATGTGGGATCTAACACCTTCCCTATTCTACCATGTTATGTTAGATTTCTTCTCATTTTTCATCTAGAAGGATAATTTTCCAAAATCCTCAAATCAAAGCAGTCATGATTAAAGTCACCAGCCACTTTGGGGTTCAAATTGAAGGTAATTTATTTCCATCATTCCAAGTCTTGGTAAACAAAGTTACCAGGTACCTGTGCTGGTGGGAGATAGTAGTAACTTTGGAATTAGTCGAGGTGTGCATAAGTTGGTCAAACACCATGATTAAAAAAAGAATAGTTCTATTAATGTGACTGAAAATTCCCGATGAACAAGTGATATGCAAAAAGTAGAGAACCTACACAAGTTGTGCTCTACAACTAGAACACAGTCCTCTATGCTTAACTAAGACATTATGGGGTAGATGATGTTCTCTAGAAACTTTAAAACAATCATTCATCTTTAGGAAATATACTCTACCTTTTTAAAATCTTCTTTCATTCAAAATGGTCTATGTAACAACCAAGATAGCTATAGACCCATCTTCTCCTCACTCCGCGTCTCAAATCCCAATTGACATCATATCTCTAATAGCAGTGGCATCATTCACATGAGCTACGATCCACTTTTTTTATTTGTAATGGTATTTATTTTTCAGTAAATTACATGTTGACTTTTTTATTCATCTACACCTTTCATCACAATTCACAAGAGTTCACGCTTTAACTATTCTTCTAGCTTAAAGCCCTACAGACACTCCAATTTGGTTATGCTTCACTTTGACATCACAGATCCAAACAAGTGAGGCATGGTTGCATGCATTACTTCACACTACCGCTCTAAAGTCCTTTGATACTCACCAATTTCAACTAGCACAACCACCATCTCCAAAGTCATAACAGATCATATAGTAATCAACCTCAGAAAGTGAAGATGTGAGTATTTGACCACCAAGAATATTCTGTGGATGGTAACAGCCACTGTACATTCATGATGGACTGTCAAGCAGTAACAAATCACAATTATAAATATAAATATTGAATATTGAAAAAATTGATTTCAAAAGAAATTTCATAAGCGAAGAAAGATGAGGCAAAGAAGGAATTGATAGAGGTGTGTCGAGAAGTTCAATACCTTCTTGATCGAGAAAATGTTGTTGCTTGCACTTATGCTGCGTCCATTTCTAGGGGTATACAAAGTCTTATATTGCAAGGTGAACAACGAATACATTGACAAGAAAACCTACTCTAATAAACAGACACATACATATAGAAAGTAATCAGCAAGAGTAACACACACAAGTTCACTCACTACAAGCATGTTATTTTTAAGCTTAGCTCCATTTATATAAGTTTCTTATGTTTCATTATTCTTCCATTGCTTTATCATATGTTATTTTAGGACATTACCAACTTGAGCATGGAAGTGACGCCCGAATAGGTGGGCATCCACTCATTTTTTTCCTTTTTTTGAGTGGTCACTCTGCAAGGATGCAATATGCATACACAACAGATGCAAAAGCAGGACATCAACACCAACATATGCAGTTTGCAAGAATAATCATCCTGCGACATGCAACAACTTTCACTCGTTTCAAGCTCGGGTCCCATCTTCCCAATCATCCCATTTCACAGGCGGCAAGCGTTCCATCTCAATCATAAAAAGAGTAATAGGTTTTATTTGTAGGTTCCTCTACTTCAGGCTCTTCCGAGGGCCTTTTCTTTTAGGTGAGGTTCTATAGTTTGATGGTTACGTTAATGTCTCCTCTCCCCTTCACTGGTAGCTAGGAAAGATCATGTTCAGTCGTCAACAAACTCTATCGTTTCCATTCAACAAAAGGGAAGTTGTCCTATTAATCAGAAACAAAAACATGATAACGATAGGTACTGAATGCCCCATAACATTGTCCATACCATTAACCAGGCTTCATAAAAAGCAGGGAGTAACTAATACTCCTACAATTATCCAAAAGAAACAGGGGTCTAACTACTAAATCGGAATCAACAGTTTTTATCATTAAACTGTACACTGTTAAGTATTAACACACTGATATATTTGACGAATGCAGCGAAACAATGAAAATGTAGATACTAGGTCATTTCTTCTCATCTCTCCTAGCCTTGGTAGATAAAGTTACCAAGCACCTACAGAGCCCCGGACACCACAGTTATAGAAAAACAACTATGAAAATGTACACAATAGTCTAATACCCATAGCAAAAGATATAGCAACAATAATGAGTAATAACATAAATGTCGGAAGAAACGAACTTTTTTTATGATCTACATCCTCGAATGGAGCTGATCCTTCGCCATTTTCTTCTTCAACCTCAACTTTTTCGTACTGTTCGTCCTCCTTAACTGAGAATTTGTGTATCAGGACTGAGTTATTGGTTAGTGAATCAGCCGCCGTAACCATGATGGCATTGTTGTCGGAGGGACGTTGAATCTGGTAGCGACGGGGCGGCGGATGATGGCGGCCCTAATCATATACTGTTTATTCATCAGAAATATTTCTGTATGAACAGAGAAAATTTTAAGGGGTTGTTTGGTTGCAACAATTAGTTAATTGTGAAATTTATGTATTATTTCATGTAAAGTTTAATTATTCAAATATTCATTACATAGATATATAAATTTGTAAATCATAAACCAAATACAAATATTCATTATAGGTATATAGATTTGTGAATCATAAATCAAATACAGTATTAGATGTATTGATTTTTTATACTAACAAAAATGTGATCACATGAATTTGAAATGAAAGTTAGAGCAATATAAATAGTGAAAAACAAGCAATTAAAACACATCTTTATAACTTGAAAATTCAAACAATATATTTTGAATTTGTCAACTGAACAACAAATTAAGTAGCATTATAATTTAATCCAAGATTATTTAGTATTATTTTTCACACCAAATGATAGTATCACTGACTAATCAGTAAATTCTAAAAAGAAAGACAAATGATATCAATTGAGTGTGTGTGTATATATATATATATTGACTTAGTATCATTTAAGCGTAATTATCAATCTTAGCTTAATGATACCAATACAATATATGATACTGATTTAGTATCAATTAAGCAAAAATTATTGATGTTAATAAATGGAATATGAGTTATAGTTTTTTATATTTTTTTTAGAGAATCGATATTTCTTAATTGCAATATAAACATGTTACTCTTGCGACTAATTTCTGTAGTTCACCTTACCTCAAAACTCTTTCTTTATACCAAAAGGATAACTTTCATTTATGAGTTTTGTATGAAATCCTTTATTTTGGTTATTTTCATATTAGCATTTGTAGTTCATAAACCTATTTTTAAGCATCCATGTCATATTTTTCATATTTATCTTTAATTGGTATTTTTTTTTTATCAATTTATCTTAAACGTGAGTGTTAAATCGCGATCAAAATTATCCTAATAACAACCTCATAAGTAGAGATGGCAAATAGTGCATTGGGGAACACATCCCTACAAACTTCAATCCGTTCCACATAACATAATTTGTTAATTTCACCTCATCAAGTTAAATATGAAAAAAAAACAAAACATGTACATATTATCTTGTATAAAATGTATATATATATACTTGTATCGAGTTTTATTTTGGTGAAAAGTTATATAGCATTAATATCTTCTTAAACTAGCCAATATATGTTTTCAATTATTAGAAGTAGCAAAAACTTTATGAAATTAATGGGGATGTTTACATGAGGCCAACACATAGACTTCAAGTCTCTCACATGTTGGTCAATATGTTCAACAATTAATTGGAAATATTATCTAAAGTAACTTAAATGTTTTTTTTTATGGGTGTCCGTGCATGTTGAAGGAAGCTGATGGAACGTGTCAAAGAAACAGTTTCGGTAGAATAAGTTCGGTGAAGCTGTCTAGCGAGTTAAAATTTGAATTACACCAGGACTAGACTACTAAATCTTAATTGATGTACAAGTCTATACTTGATACGACTAAAACTGATGTAGTTATTGTTCCTAGTCAACTATATCAGTTTTAGTCGTACCAAATATAGACTTATACATAAATTAAGATTGTTAATAATCTAGTTCTAATGTAATTCAAACTCCAACTCATTAAACAGTTTTACCGAACATGTCCTTTGACACGTTTCATCACCTTCCTTCAACGGTCCATTAATTGTCTCAAAATTTTATAACTCAAAACTTATCACAAAACAAAATAGGGAAGCAAGCAAAAGTCAATAAAAATGGCACTACATCTTGACTTATTTATGAACAAAATTCCAACAATAATTAATACATACACAATATACAAATATGAAATAAGTATACGCGTTTGCTTGGGACCACATAAATTACCTAATTATTTATCGGCAGTAAACATGTAAGTGTGATATTCATTTTTGTATAATGCTTGAAAATATCGAACGATTCGAGTTAAATCTTGAAGAAAGCTAAAAATTGTTAGTTTGATGAGCATATATATTTTCATACTATAGAATATATATAATTAATAATTTGTATATAAATACTTCTCTAATTTGTTGGCTTAAGCAAGGTAGGGTTGAGTTTGATACCAGCACAATATTTTTTATGAAAAATATTTTATTTAAAATTATTTTATTTATTTATTTTAGTATTTGATAAAGAAATAAAAATGTATTATTTTAAAAAATTTATATATAATTTAGTAAAAAATTATAAGGTAGAAGGGGATAAGTTGAGCGTAAAGGAGTATAGAACTTGTTTTACTTACTTTCGTAAAGAAAGTGATTGTTTTTTTCTTTTTTAAGAAACTTAATTTATTCGAGAAAGTTTTTCAAAAAAAAATCAATTAAATATAAAAAAATAAGAAATATTCTCTTATATATTTGTTGGGTTTTATTTGCCTTAAATTTTTTACCATAATTAGGTTTTTCTTTTAGGAAAAGATTTGAATTGACTAATCTTTTTTTCTGGTAGGAAAAAATTTAGGATTCTATAAATAGAGGAATGTTCCTTCTAACTTAATCAGATTCACAATGTAATCTTAAGAGCTTTGAGAGTTTTGGTTAGGGGGAGAATTTATGGGTCACAGGCTTGATACGTAATCACTTGTGTGTGAACCTCACATGTATTCCGAGTGAATTGGTTGAGGTTATTTCCCTCTGTATTTTGTACTCTCATATTTATAGTGGATTGCTCATCTCATTTGTGGACGTAGGTCAATTGACCGAGCCACGTTAAATCTTTGTGTCTTTTGGTATATTTTTCGTTGTCTTCTTACTCGTGATCTTTTAAGATTTGCTTTGCTAGCTTCCAAATTTACACCTACTTATTTTCGATCCTAACAATATCACCCACAATAATAATGTGTTCGAATATACGAGAAAATTATTTTCTAGAAAAATAAATTATGTTAGATACCTAAAGTAAAAGGAATAAATTTTACAAATACCATGAAAAATAATTGTGTGGAGATGGGCTACAAGGATGGAGACAAAAAGATAAATAAGGCACGTTAAATAATAAAATATCAAATATCGAATGGAAAATTAAAAACGCAAATTAAACATTAGGAAAATGGGCTGAATCATTTTTCCGTTTAGTGGTTCCTAAAGATATAATTAATTAATTAATCCAAACACTAAGACATATATTGTAAAGAGACTATACTAACATTTAATATTGAAAAAAGAAAAGGATAAAACTAAGCTGACTTGAAAAAGTATTTGCAAATTAAAGTTAATTATGCAATGCTATCCTAATCAAGAAATTATTTAGTGGAACCTTTTTCTAGCCACTCTCACATCAATAATTAAAATTTCAAATAGGGAAAATACATTAATAGCAAGATAATAATCTCTATAGTAATTGATAAAGTCTTAAACATAATCACTAATTATATTTTTAAAAAATATTAACTCCATGTTAATAAATTAAAGGTATAATATGAAAAAACAATTATCCTTTTTTTTATTTGTTAAAAATAACAAGTAAAAAAAAAGAAATCAAAAATTTTAAAAAATATTTGACAAATAATAGTAATGGAGGAAATATTTATTGTAGTTAAATATATTTGATCTTCTATTAAATGAATATGTGTTTTAAACTTAATTGCTGGTAAATATTCACAACTCATCATTTAATTATCATGTGATTATGTTAAATTCGCGTTGTTATTTTATATTTGACGAAAATATAATTAGTTTGAACAATAGAATGCATATTTTTCACCTTTATATTATAAATTAATATAATAATAAACAGTTTAATATAAATACTAGATGGAAGTAAATTTTTTGTTTGATTGATTCAAATTTCATACAATTTGATGTTACAATTGGATATATCCTCTGAATGAATGGGAAAAAAAAAGATGTATACTCTGAATCATTTGTCATTCTTAATAAAGGAGGATGTTTCTATATTTAATTTGAACTGTTAAAAAAATTTCTAATTTTTTGATGATATTTGATATTTATATTAAATTTTGATTTAATTTGCGTTTAAGTTAATCTTTTGAAATGACTCAAATGATTTAATTTGAGATTTTCATATTAGAGATATTAGATTTGAAATTTCTTATCCTGTGATAGTAAGGGGTTAACCTTTTTGAATCGAGCCAGTCGCATGCAGTTTGCCTAATATAATTTTCTTTTTTCTATGTGGTTTACGAACTATTACATAAGATTAAGATTTATCTTGTGCACACTTAAAGAATAGCAATTACGAATTTTCTTGTCATTAAAAACTGTATACATAACAAAAAAAATGAAAAGAGTAAATTGTTCTAAAGAAACAAAAATCATTTATATTATTCAAGTTCAATTCGTAATCAATTTTTTTAATTAAAAATAAAAAATATTTTTCTTCTTTTAACAACTTTTAATCAGTCATATTTCAATATACAAAAATAGTTATATTTATAAATCCTTTTTAAAATATGTAGTTATGAGGATGTAAAATTTCAAAGTCAAAAACTAATTACACATGTGAGTATGAAAATGAATTTCTAACCGGCCAAATTAATTTCTAAAATTAACTTATTTTATTAAAAAAAAAAAAGTTCATCAATTTAAAAATTATTTCTAAACAATAATTAGTATATGACCAACTTCTAAAAAATATTTCTTCGTGTATTTACATTTTTTTTTTAAGTTTATGAAAATAGCTTAGGTTATTAGATCTCTCAAAACCTTGATATACATACCTCGAAAAAAAAAGTTAATGAAAAATACATCTTGTATAGCTTCCTACTTTCTTTTATTTCCTATTCGTGGACATACATCCAAATTGAAATACACAAATTATATAACACGTTTATATATTACTTTCATTTTCAACAACCGCACGCAGGGGCAGAGCTATCCTTAACCTCTTCAACAGAAAACTATATTATTTATATATGGTTAAAATAAATTTATATGTATATATAGTAGATATTGAACCCCTTCGACTATCTATTTCTACAAATTTTGAACCCCTTATTGAAAATTTTAACTCTGTCTCTGACCACATAAGCAAGGCACATCATCCTACCTATGTATAATGGAGAAGCAACCATTATTGTCATTGAAAGTGATATACACTAAACATATATACTATAGTTTGACTATATTTCTAACCATAAAAATCACAACATATATCATAATCTGAAACAAATTTACGCGTTTGTTTAGCTACTCCACTAACTCACAAATAACAAATTGACTTCTAGCTAGTATATATATATATATATATACACACTGATATTTTATCTATTTCATGTTCGATATTTTATATTTGAGTTGATTAAAATTTGATATAAGTCGAGAAATTTGATATTAGGAGTAAAAGACAACTTAATAATGATGATTGGATACTCTGGGGGATTCAAACTCGAGGACTTTGATTGAGACTGAAGGAGTAGTTATCACTCCACCACAATCCTTATCAGTTATATACACGTTAGTTGTTACGTCAAAACAAGGCTGAGCATACTGGTGAACTCAAGTTGGCATCAAGTATCACTTAAGACACCTTAACCGAGCTTTGTTCCTTTTAGACATCTTATGTACAATCCCGTTATATCATTTCAACACTTTTTGTTGATATGACATAGTGAGTGTTATACTCACACTAACTGTGCGTGAGGGCTTTATTTCATTATTTTTAAAAATAAGATTCTTCTTCTCCATCTTTTAGCTATCATTTTCCAAACTTAAACTTTTTCAATAATGAAAAGGTTTAATGATGCAATGATAAATAAGTAAATTTCAGCCTACGTGATTTAGATATGACGGAGAAGACGACTAGTTAGGCATGAGTGAATGTAATGAATTTTGTGCAAGAAAAAATATATATTATTCGAGCTTAAAATGTCACGTGTCATCAAGTTCAATGGTCACTTTTCTACTCAAAAAATATTATTTGAGCATTATCTTTCATATACATATCACATGTCTTTGTTTGATTCATTACTTTAACATATTAACAACAAAAATGTTATACATACTTTATATATTTGAATGATTATCAAAAAATATCAAAACAATAATATCACAAACTCTACATAAGATATCTAAAAAAAATAGCGATAACTTTAAAGACATCGATAAATTCAACCTTAAAATATCAAATATGAAACATGTAACTAATTAAGAAGTGTTTGGTTGTTTACAAAACTTGTGGTTGTCACATTTTTATAAGTAGACAAGAAATAATTCTTTATTTGTGGACACAATTTTGACAGGACCATATATCATTCATTATCTTAATTAAATGTGACATTTTTCGATTGTACGTACAAGGTAATTCAAGTACATATACTAACTTCAAATTTGTTCAACGAAAAGCATTTAAATTTAGTTAAACAGATATTTAATATTGGCACAAATTTTTATGAGTTCGGAATCTAAAAGATATAAAATATTAACAAAAATTTTAAAATGGTATATAAAATTTTATATTCATCAAAATGGCAAAATCACTGGAACAACAACAATTTACTCCACCGAGAAAAGCACGATTTTGCAAAATGTGATATTTTTTTAATTTCTTTTTTAAAAAATCGCTGTCTAGGCAGCAATTTACATTTTTTTTAAAATATCGCTGCCTTTTATTTTTATTTTTATTTTTTAAAAATGGAAATCGCTGTCTAGGTAGCGATTTTCAAAAAAAAAATTAAAAAACAAAAATTGAAAATCGCTGTCTAGGTAGCGATTTGAAGTTTTTTTTTAAAAAAAAATCACATTTTGTAAAATCGCTGCAGTAGCAACGATTTTGCTTTTTTTTGTGGAGTAAATCGTTGTTGTTCCAGCGATTTTACTGTTTTGGTTAAAATAAAATTTTATATATCATTTTGAAATTTTTATTAATATTTTATACCATTTAAGCTTTGGACTCAAATTTTTATCGGTACATAAGTACCTCTCGATTAAGTTATGTACCTAGTAATATTATAATACAAGTACCTCTCGATTAAGTTATGTACCTAGTAATATTATAATACAAATAGTTTTTAACATAATAATTATTAATGTTGATAAAAATATTAACATCTTTACCATTATCAATTAAGTATTATTAAAATTAATATCGCTAGAGACTTTATATAAAAATTTCTAATTACTACTAAAATACATATTTAAACATTAATAATATCTTTTATGCCGCGTGCTTGTGTGAATATTACATTATTCAAAAATTGTCATATTAAACGTTTTATTGACAATTAAAAAAGAGAGAGAACAAGATAATCCAAGCATTTATTGAGAGATTTATCTTTTATTTTAATATAAAAGAGAAAAATGTAATATACAAATTAAATAAAAAAGATTCTTGGAATATTATATTATATAGTTTAATAATGTATCTACAGCAAAAAAAAAATGTTGATAACAGATCGTCAAAGGCAATCATATTGTTAAATATATTCCCAAAAAATAGCACAATAATTTTGTGGAGCCTTTTTCAGCCGCCTCACAAAGTATATAATATAAAAATATTTATACACACATATTAATAAATTAATTATGTGATATGATCACTGAGTATCGCCGAAAAAAGCATTTGTTATATATCTAAAAGAATCATGTGATAATACTGTATATATTATTCAAATGTCAGAATCAGAACAAACATAAATTAATGAGATGGTTAAATATAAATATTTTTGAGTTTAAATTCTGAAAATATTTTTTTTTATTAGAATACTTATGTTCAAAATAAATATTATAATATTTATTAAATTTTAATATAAAGCAAGAAATAAAAAAATATTGAAGCAACATAGAGTGAACGACGACATGTATTTATTATAAGGACTAGCTATATATATATATATTATTTAACTTGAATAATTGTGTTCATATATATATATCTATTTTATATTTAAAAAGCAAAAACTTTATGATCAGTTGAACCCATAATACATTTTCAGAAAAATATATATATATAATATGGTGTGTGTTGCGTGGCACTTAATTAAATTGACAACATGACTTTTTTTTCTACTATATGTTATGTAAGAGAAAATAGTTAACAGTTGACAGCTAGTGATAATGGGTTAATTAATATATAACCTGGATCGCGATGAATGATCGAGATAATTATAATTTTTAAATTTAAAATTTAAATAATTAAAAATATTATTATTAAAAACGAACTTTATGTAATATGTGAATTTAAATTTATCGCTATGAATCTTTTTAAGTCTTATTGGGTCAATATCAGCCGATCGAATCTTTGTAGCACTATAAATTAATACTACATTTTATTTTTGCATTTTCCATTTTTTTTTCCTTTGTTTAGTGAATCATGACAAGTGAGGCGGACCTACGTGAAATTTGTGGATTCGAATAAATTTACTATTTTTTTTATATTTATATTTGTACTTGAATTTTTTTTATATAATCTCATTTAATATCTATACATAATTTTGAAATTTACGTTTATTTATTCTCCAAAAAAAATATATATAAAAAAATAAAAAAATAGAAATGTGTCAACACGCGCTGGAGTAAGCGCGTGTGTGATAAAATAGAATCCTGCTGGTTTTATAGAGAACGATGGGCGGACTTGCCGGCTTAGTTATCCGCAGACACGTCTACTTTTAATTTTTTTCTACAAATACGTCGTGTCAAATTCTCATTGGTTCAAACATGGTGGACCCCACGTCAATGTGGGACCCAAACACCATTAATGAAAATTGTAAGGAAAAAACGGATCCATACCACGCGGCGGAATACCTGAAGCTTAGCCGACAAACCCGGTTCAACCCGGTTTTGTCACCGTTTTCCCCACACTTACCAGTTATCTGCCACCTGTCCATTATCTCTCAAGCTTTCTAGTATCTTCTCCGACAAACATACGTGAAATATACCTCTAAATTCTCGATCAACTTTAGCATTATCTTCAATGTTAAAAAAACCATAAAATATATGTTCTTCACTTTAATTCTTATCCGTTGATTCAATATTTAATAAATGTCGAATCTGTTATGTTGTGGAGCCTGATTAATATTTGATGTACTGTCAAATTTTAGGCTGTACTGTTCATTCTCAATTTATTCTTTGTAACTGTTCATACTCCGAATTATTAATATATACCCCACCGCCGTGAAAGTTTACCCACGGAGTGTTACCACGAACTATTGGTTTCTCTCTTTAGATCTCTCTCGAAAGTTCTTGTGTTCTTCATTCTCAAGTGTGTGTGAATGAATTCGATCCTAACAAAATCCATAAATAAAATTATGACATATGTATATCATTAGTACAAAGGATACACACACGATGACAAAAATATAACGAAGAATATCTCATATTTTTCTTTTTTCCCCCCTTTATTTGTTTGGTCAACTTAAAAAATGAAGTATACCATATGAAGTAAATAAACACTAATAAATATAGTAATTGATTGTAATAAATTACTTACCCTTAAGATTATGCGTTATTGATAATTTTCTTAAATTAAAACTCTGGACTCTGGAGTATAGCAATGTATATATATTATAATAATTATAAGTATCATAAATGGATAGGAAAAGTTGTTTTCTTTGGTAACGAATATATTTTATTAAAAAATAATAAATATATAATATTTGTCATTTGTTTATTTTTTTAAAAAAAAAGTAAAAAAAAAACACAGAGTATGCCGCCATCAAGCACACAAATGTCACGTAACTGACTAGGCCCCACATTTTGTAGAAAAAAGAAGGGCCCCACAAAAAACCCATGGGGGCGGCTATTTCTCATTAGTCAAAATTTTCCTATATAATCTCTCTTCACCCTTTCTCCATTTTCTTCATCTCTGTAACATTTTGAATTAGCTATGGCGCCTAAGGAAAAAATTGGTGCAGTTACAGCTATGGCAATGGTGAATTTAAATGGAATTTCGAAAGAGGTGCATTATAGAGGTGTAAGGAAGAGGCCATGGGGGAGATACGCGGCGGAGATTAGAGATCCTGGGAAAAAAAGTAGGGTTTGGTTAGGTACTTTCGATACTGCGGAGGAGGCGGCTAGAGCTTATGATAACGCTGCTAGAGAATTTCGTGGAGCGAAAGCGAAAACTAATTTTCCGAAATTAGAAATGGAAAAAGAGGAAGATCTGAAATTCGCTGTGAAAAATGAAATCAATCGGAGTCCGAGTCAGACTAGTACTGTGGAGTCATCGAGTCCGGTTATGGTTGATTCATCATCGCCGTTAGATCTAAGTCTCTGTGGATCAATCGGCGGGTTTAATCATCATACGGTTAAGTTCCCGAGCTCCGGTGGAGGTTTTACCGGTTCGGTACAGGCGGTGAATCATATGTACTATATAGAAGCACTTGCACGCGCCGGAGTTATAAAGTTAGAAACAAATCGGAAGAAAACGGTAGATTACCTCGGTGGTGGTGACTCTGATTCATCAACGGTAATTGATTTTATGCGTGTTGACGTGAAATCAACCACCGCCGGTTTAAATCTGGATCTCAACTTTCCTCCACCGGAAAACATGTGACATCACCAGAGACGACGATGAAGACGATCGGAGATATTTTGCGAGAAACATTTTTAATTTAGTACAAGTTCCTTTTTAATGTTTTTTAATTTAAACAGAAAAGGAAAAAAAAAAGTATATAGAATTAGATATATAGATGATAGAAAACTGAAGAGCCATCGCCGTTGCTGCTGCCGTCGCCGCCGGCGACGATTAATCACCGCCGATGTCAATATCAAGAAGGGCTGATCTATTTTTACCCTTTTTTGCAACAGAAAAAAAAACAAATCTATTTGATTTTGCAAAGCTGTTGTTTCCATTAGATCATCCTTATCATATAGTTATTATAATACATTGTTGCCGGTTTTTTCAGCTGAAAATAATTATCACAATTCTCTATCTCATTCGATTAATTCTTGATTAATCGTAACGAGAGGGAGTTATTCGAATAGTAAATATGTTCCTATTTTTTTGTTTTTGTGAATCGGTCGGAATGTGAGGAGCAGGCGGCGGCGAGCGAGAACCGCTAAAAGAGTTTCGCGGTAAACGTGTGGCACGTGTGGTCCATTTGATTGTACGGAAAATGGCAGATAGTGGAGATTGTGCCACGTGGATGTTGTGCTGTTTATTTTAATTTAAAGTATGATTTATCTTTTTGCAGCTAACGTAACAAATACGTACATTCAGTTTTGAATGCATTACGTATACGGATATGTTTCTTTGTTTATTACGTTAGTATTTTTTCCGTTTATTTTTATTTATCAAAAACGTAATAATTGATATGATTATTTTATTAAATTATACGATGAGTGCGTGAGGGTAAATTTGGAACTAAAATGTAATGTTAGCTGTCTGTTGGTGGATCCCCGACATAAATAGTGGTAAGAATCTGTTTTCGAGTAAGCACACCGGTAATTAAAGCTTTAAAAACAACGTTAATTAATGAGAATCACAGAGAAAAACAGATCCCTTAGCCGTAATTTGAGCAGTATTTAAAGATTTAAGTCATTGTGTGTGAAGAGAAATTAAATAAATTTGTTACTCCGTTTTATATTCTCTCCGTTTCTATTTACTTGTTCATGTTTTCTTTCATATCTATTTTTATATATTTCCTTTTATATCTGTTTTTATTTACTTGTGCATTTTAACAAATTAAGAAATGATAACAATATTTTTTTCTAATATATCTTTATTTAATTCTAGAAAATTTCTAGTACTATTAAGTTGTAATGTGTGCTTTTTGGAACTAGAAAATACATTTATTTTACTTGGGAGTTACATAATCTTTTAAGTTAGTAGTAAAATTGTAACTGATCTATAATAATCATTGGTCTCTTAATATGTGTGTCACTTGTAAAGTGGACAACTAAATAGGGATAGAGAGAGTATTAAATTAATTTTTGAGGTGTTTCACGTCTTTTAAAAAGAATAGATTAAGATATAAGTAAATTTAGTTTTTCATTTTTTATTTAATTATTATCAAATTCATGATTAAAATAATTAAATATTAATTAATCACTAATTTCAATACAAACTAATGAAGGATAAAATTAAAAAATATTCTAAAAGTAATCTTGAATACAAATTAATCTGAAAAAAAAAAAATGAAAAATGCCTAAAAAATTAACTTACTATGAAATAGATGGAATACTCTCTCTGTCCCTAATCAAACAAATTCTTAATTGACATACCTATTAAGAAAACAACTATTGACATAGTAAATTTGTCGATGCATAAATTAAAAGTTTAAGATTTTTAAGATATTCTAAACTTTTCAAAGTAATTAATTGAGGATACAATAAATAAAATTATTTTATTCTTTATTGATTTATCAAAATAAATAAATAATTACAAATAACTATAAAAGATAAAGTAACAAATTACTAATTAGGAACAAAGAATATATAAAATATCACGTATGTCAAATTATACGATATAATATGCCAAAAGCATAGTAAAATTTTTTTTTTTTACCCTTTTTACTTTCTTCATATAAAAAAAGATAAAAAAAATATCTACTATTTTAACAACTTTCATATCCATTTTCAAAATTTTCGATCTAAACAATAATAGCGACTCCGTACCTAAGACGCACTACGCAGAGTAGCAGACAGGAAGTGGACCCACATGTGGAGACGGACATGAGAAGTGTAAGTGAAAACGCGGCTGCCGCTTTTTCTGTGAGTGGGCCCCATCTCATTTTGCCGTCCACCGAATTTTTCTTTACTTGTTATTAATATTTTCGTTTTAATTTATTTATCTTAATATAAAAATAAATTAATTTTTTTGAAATACAATTTTTTTTTTTATATATGTATGGTTTATTTATCGATAACTACTACAATTGATAAGCTTTTAAAAAAGGAAAAATTAATGTAAGGTCAAAATTAAAAATTATTCATACTGTTTTAGTATTTTATTTTTTTTAAAAAAATTTGGCCTAACACACTGATTTAAATTCTATTGTAGTTGTGAAGCAATTGGGAAGGACCACAATTTTTTATTTTTTTTTGAAAGACACTTTAAATGTTGGAAATCAATTACTTGCTATAAATATTATTCTAAAGAGTAGCTGTCATTTTAATATTTTCGAATATAATTTGAAGAATGGATATTAGAGGAAGCTATTTAAAGTCAGCAAACTAGAATGACCTCATTCAAATATTGGTCCCCATTTTATTTCATTAATATAAAATTAATACTCATAAAATTCCTAAACAATAAATATAGTACGATGACTAAAGTACAAGAAACAATATATAGTACTCTCTTCGTTCAGAAATATTTGTCATGTTACGCTTATCGAAAGTTAATTTGACTAATTTTTAAAGGTAAATTAGATCAGATTACTTCGATATTTAAAGAAAAACAGATATTCTGAAACTATATGAAAAGTACTATAAATTACAATTTTTTGCATACTAATATAATTAAAAAATGCATCTTAAAATGTTAGTCAAAGTTTTTATAGTTTGACTCTAAATATAATAACCATGAAAAATAATACCGAACAGAGGATGTAATAAAAATTGAATGATAATATGTATCCTTTATAATTTTCTATTTCAAAGTCAAGTCTTCAGTAAGTTGAAACTGTATCATATTAATGTCTAATAATCACCTCTCGCTAATAATATTTTTTAATTAATAATAAAAATAAGAAATTATTCGCCTAATCAAAATTTAAACTCGAAATCTCGGATATAGATACGATGAATAAAGAGAATATATTATTGGTGTAAGAGTGTGGGCGGCTGTCGGAAGAAAAAGAGCGTGGACGGCTGCTACACTATATTTCTTTATTTTCCTTTATATTTTTCTTTTATAATCGTAATATTCGAATTAATTTTCGAACAATTCAACTAATTTCACCATCTTTATATCTAATATATTTAATTAATTAGCCTTCTTTTCATTTTACTTTTTCTAATTTTAATAACTAGGAGAAAATTATTATTTTTTTTTAAAAAAACATTTTTAATTTTATATAATTATATAAAATAATAGAAATCAAATTTAAAGTTTTAAAATATTATGAATAAAATTAATTTAATAAGTACAATACATTGCTGATTAAGAGATGTGTCACGTTAATTCTTTTATAAGAGTAAGTGAAATTGAAAAAAGATAATTATTTTTCTCTTTAATTTTTTAACCTTTTGAAACAAGAATATTTTTTTTTTTTACAAAGCTTAGAGAATAATTAACAGTTTAACACGTCTTTATAAGGAAAAAAAAGGGCAATGAAATTGACGTGTTAGCAAAAGTAGGAAACATTGTCCAAATAAAAAAATTGATAAAAAAGATATATTAGAGTAGCTTTTACTATAAAGTTTTTTCCCCTTATTTTAGGGACATGTCATTGTTTTGATCCCAACATGCATAATTATTATTATTTTTATATAACTATCAATAAAATAGTGAAAGTATATGGAAATAAAAAAAAGAAAAGTTGAGGGGAAAAAATATGTGGCATTAGAACGTGGATGAATATAATAATAAAAGTTGAGTTTCACTAGAAAATATTTGTTTGACCAATTCAACACACAATGATTGTTATCTAATGCTTAAACTAAAGTAATCTCAACCAGAAAAAAAATGCTTGACTAGCCTATGATGACTCCATTTTCCATGTTCAAACAAAGTAACAAACACTTTTGAATCTCGATGTATTTAACATGTCAACGAGAAAAATAGTTGAAATGAAAGAATTACCGAAAAAAGAACGTAAGTGACCCCTTTTGAAATAGGCTAAAAAGGAAAGCGGGATCCAGGCCAAGCTGCCCTTATATTTGAAGGTGTTGATTTCCTCGAGAAAAATCTTAGGGTTGACCGGTTGAGTACATTACTACATGGGCCGAGGGTCCATCGTACACATTACCTTCCTCAGACTCTACTCGTGTGGGACTACACAGAGTATGTTGTCGTTGTTGTATGTAAGGGTTGAGAAATAGAGTACACAATTGGGTTGTGGTTACATCTTTCAACTTAAAATGCAGTTGACTCGATGAAGCCAGAACCACTATCACTCATCGTATAAACGTTACATGATTAAGAGGGTCTACGAGGTTACCTGTTGACAAAATCCTCATTGAAGTTGCTGAGCCTGCAAATTTTGTTGTCAATGAAGAAAACAACATATCCTTGGTTGAGTCAAGAGTGGTTCAACTCTATAAATACTTGGAGTCATAAAATAACACTCGAGTAGGATCCATAATTCAGTGAAGTTGGGGTCAGCATCAAAATTACGATAGATGTATTCATTTAGACCAAAAATCAAATGGCAGTTACAGGAGAAAACATATGTTTCTTTGGAGCACCTATCGTGCCCTACGTTCAGACATTCTCTTAGTCCATAGACCGCATGGTAAAACTTCGCTTGAACCTTCTGACATTCATCATAAATCATCGTTGCAATCTGGTTGAATACCAAGTATTAGAATGAATCTAAGCATATGATTTAATCAGTAAGAACTACGATGACAAAGGCCAAAAGATATATGTTAAGTTTCAGACCTTCATAGTTCACTGATACTTGAGCTTATTTAGAAAATTAATTCTTTAACAATCTCGTAGCCACATGATTCACAAAATCTACAAGAAGAAGTACTTTGCAAATAATCTAATCAGACAAGTACAGAAAAATCACATCACATACATCAAGCAAAGTCTGCATTCAATCTGAGAATGCATAATATGTTGTTCAAGGATGATAATGTTCCATATGGTGGAAGTGGTCCTATTTCATCAGGTTCGCAATTTACTAATCGAGGTTCAGACTCAGAACTCTAGTGCTCTGCAGAAGTAAAAATCTTATGTTATTGTGGCCCTCTCTCTATGGCCTCCGTAAGTTGATAACCAGCATTTCAACTTGTACAAGGACTTCTCTTTTTTTTATGTTATCGTGACCCTCTCTCTATGGCCTCCGTAAGTTGATAACCAGCATTTCAACTTGTACAAGAACTTCTCTTTTTAACTTCGGTTGTCCAACAACAGAGCAAGCATACAAGCTTGAGAGAATACCAAATGAAATCTGCTCTGCTCCCCTCCCTCCCCAGCAAAACGAGAAAACAATTGGGATAGGAGAAGACTTTTGCAGTTTTAGGGGCTTTTATTCATCTCAATGCCACTTAATGAGTCTACAACTCTACGGGTTAGAAGTTAAAAGATCTTAGATGGATACAAGAAATAAAGACACAACAATCTTTTTAGAAGTGAGTAAATATATATCATAAGGGACATAATTAGAAGTACCAGAAATATTCCAGGAAACTAAAATCATGTA